CTTACATTTCAATGAAACAATTCAAAGCGCTTTTGAAAGTGTGGCCTTGGTGGGCAAATTCCTGCCCTATTTTCCTTTCCTTGCTTCCAATGGTGACTATTATGGCAGTTTCCTTTAATTGAAGTACAAACTTACCACTCCATTGGCTTAATAAACACTGATTCCTATTCTTTTTTTTTTTAGGCAAATACCTATGAAATAATTGAAAAGTTATCTGACTATTCACAAAGTTAAAATAGTAATAATACATTGAATATTACCTGCCAATTATTCTTCTAAAATCTTTTCCTGTATTGTCTCATTTTATCCTCAAAATAATTCTGTGTCTCTGAATGTTAGTTACTTTTAATAACATTCTATAGGTGAGAGAATTACACGAAAGGAGTTTAAGTTACTTTCTCAATGTTACAAAGCAACCATTATAGAATAACAATATTTATGCATGGCTATCTGTTCTTAAGCATCTGAAAAAAATTATTTTGCCCTAAGAAAACTTTTCTAAAATAATGCATTTTTCATTTTCTTGTATATGGAAACAACTTTTGACATTGCATCATCATCCATTCTTCTAAAGTGACACTTTTATTTCTTTTTAATTAAGGCAATTATTTATATAATTCAAATAAATCTGACAGCCCCATCTTAATAAAATTCCCTAAAATATTAAAATTACCTTCTAAATATTTTACTTTCCTAGTGCAGTCTAACTTTTGTGTCTGATATCAATGCTAGGCAAGTACAGTAAAGCTCTTCATTGCATAAAATTAGGATCAAAATTGGCAGGTGAAGAAGAATTTGTAGAGGCATTCATTTTTTCAGAAGTAGATACAGATTTTACTTTTGCAGCTTTATTTTTTACAGTTATTCCTTTCTAACAAAACCAGTCAAAATAAAACTTTTTTGAGGATTTTTATCAATTACCTATTTTATAACTGGTGGGAGCAGGAATTTAAGAAATGAAGGCAACAGAAAGTCTTCCCATTAATTAGTAGAGCCTGATGACATTCGGGAAGTATACAGAATCAAAATGTCAAAAAAAAGTTTAAGATGTATTGATAACAATTAATGATTCATCCTATGCTTTCCTACTGGCTATTATAATACACATGCTTATCTAGGAATTCTATGTTTTGGGCACATGTTAAGTGCTTTACATAGTAATGCATTTAACTCACATAATTTCATTCGTCCTATTACTATTAGCTTTTACAGGTGAGGAAATGGGCCAAGTAGGTTTAAGAGACTTTCTGAAGTTTCAGAGCCAGCAAGTCATAGCACCAGGGGGCCATGACTTGCACTAAAGGTCTGTTTCAGAGTCTACAGGCTTGACCATTATATGACCCTGCCTCAGGATATGCTCTTTTTACCCATTTTCAGTAATTGCCATGTGGGTCCTACCAGGGAGACTATGAGGCAATGTCACCCCTTCTCCATCTGCCCAAAGGAGCATCGCCTAGGTGATGGTGCTTTAAGCAGACTGGAGAATATACAGGAGTCACCCACAAGTTCAAGGATAGAATCAGACTAGCATGCCCAGAGTGACACCAGACACAGGCCAAATTAAAGCACCTGATCTGTCCAATTCCAACTGAACATTATCAGCCAGGCTGCCCTGGCCCTGAGCTAAAGGAAGACAGGGTTTCCTGGAAGCAAGGAAGAGCCAGGAGTTCAAGAATCCTAGGCATAGCCAGAGCCAGGGATGGCACAGATGTATGGGTAGGCCGTAGGCAAAGCAAAGGTGTAGGAGACAACTAGGATGAGCTTACATACTTTTTAAATAAGTCAAAAGAACTGGTTTCCAGTATTGGTTTTTCTTGTTACATGCAATGCAACATCTCTGCACTTCAGTGTCCTATCTCTCCCTAGATAGGATATTCTTCACTTGAATGTCCTATCTAATTCACTCCCTACCTAATTCAGCAACAAATATTTACCTGCTATGATCTCTTGAGACCAGGAGTTTAATATCAGCCTGACCAAATGGCAAAATCCTGTCTCTTCAAAAAAATACAAAAATTAACCAGGCGTGGTGGTGAATGCCTGTCATCCCAGCTACTCAAGAGGCTGAGACAGGAGAGTTGCTTGAACCCTGGAGGTGAAGGTTGCAGTGAGCTGAGGTCATGCCACTGCACCCCAGCCTGAGTAAAAGAGCAAGACTTCATCTCAAACAAACAAACAAACAAACAAAAACAGTAGAAAAATATGAGCCCTTTTTCGAAAATCTCATTTTTTTGAGAAAGTAATATTAAATGGCTCAGGATTTCTACTGACTTAGAAAATGCCTTTAAACAGTTTTAGAAAATAAAACCAAATTAATGCATATAAAGAATATCAATAACGCATGAACAAATAACTTTATTTATATTAAATGTGTTTGTACTATATAACCTGCTTATGGTATACCTTCTTTTTCTATCTCCAACCCCACTTCTGTCTTTGTAAAATTTCCCAAAGAAAGTAGTACATAATTTGCATATATTTGAATGGAAATTATGCTGTAAAGATCCATCTACTAAATGCCAGATGTATTTAAGGAGCATCTACATTTATAGTAGACATAAGCCATTCCTAATTTAAATCACATGTTATTTTGTTTAATTTTTGAAAAGAATGTGACAGTGAAAAGGGCATCCTCATCTAATGAGGCCTCTTCATTTTACAAATGAGAAAAATAATGCCCAGAAAGTTGTAACTTACAGACATTTCAGAGTCATGAAATGGCAGAGCTGGAACCAGGGCTCATGTCTGCTCAATGCCTATTCTCATTGCATTTCCACCATCACACACACACACTACTGCCTCATGCATCATATTCCATTTTTTTCCAAAAAGTAATTAGAGCATGTGACATAATTTAGAAAGGGGACTTAAAAGTAAAGTGTGTATGACAGAAATAGGACCATTTAATGGAAACAATGATGCCAACAAATTACATCCTTTAGCATTTTGCAAGAAGTAGAGTTTTAAGGGACTCTCGAGACCAAATTTGATTTCCCAAGCCAATCATTTAACAGGGTGGTTGTACATTTAGGTTATCTTGAGTTTATAATAGCACCGGATTCGAGTTTTGCTTTTTGTTTTTCATTTCTGTCTTTTGACAGGTTTAGAGATGAAAGTACTGTGGGATAGCAAAGGGGAAAGAATGTCCATCAACCTTAAATAGTCATGTCTACTATGACATTTCTGCTAAAACATCGCCCTAATTTAGGTCCCAATTAGCTCATGCCCAGATTATACCTATGAGACAATCAGGTTTTCTGGCCCACAGGCCCCCTCCCCTCTTCCCATATTGCACCTCACTGCAAGATTTACCACCTTTAAATCATTGTTTGCATCATATTACTTCCTTGTCAAGCCCTGTGATGGTGTGTGTTTAATTGCTTATTGCATCTTGTTCAAATATTTTAATCTTGCTTTTTTCGTTCTTCATAATCTGTCTGCCTCTCAGAAATTCTACTCTTTCCAGTAAAGCATGCTCATTCACATCACCAATCCTTTACTAAATGCTTTCTCCCTTTTCTCTGTTCCCTCTTTCCTCTCTGCTATTGCAAACTCTACCCAAGCCTCAAGGCATGCATCCATGTCCTCCATTCAGCCTTTCCTCACTATTCCAGCCCTCACTGATGAGCTCTCTCTCCCTTTTCTGATTTCATGAATGTTTCCACAGGTTACACTGCTGGGCTTGCATTTCCAAATTCAGCGTAAGTTCTCAGGCAGGAATCATGTTTTATCTTAGGAATCTCATGAGCCCTCTCCCCACCTCCATTCCTACAAACCTCAGCACCTTGGTGATTATGGCAGATTTTCAGTGAATACTTTGGCTGCTGGACAGTCCAGAGAGGTGGAGGAAGAGAATGCCAGCTACATGCATGCAATGCTGGCAAAAGCATCAGTACTATTTCTAGGGTTAAGTCTCAACCCCACTGCTCTTCTTCATGAATGTGAACATTCACTCTACCACTAAATTGTTACTGACTCCTTCCTCTTCAGGGTTTGTTAAGTAAGTTTCTTTTCTCTAACTTTGATCCTAAGTCTGATCCACCTTCACCCAACTTCACTGTACCTAAATGAAAGTTTTCATTTAGGGTCCCCCTCTTTTTCCTCCATAAGAGAAATTTCCATTCTTTTTCATTTGTAGTGTCCCCAGCCTTGAAGACACGATTGATATCGTGGTGGCACTTCAGCTATGTGTGGTAGACTCTCCTCCTACTACATAAATGCTGCAAACCTAGATGTGTCTATAGCCCAGCTAAGATTAGAAAATGTCACTGGTTTCCCTTCCCTTCCCTGCCCGGCAAAATGACCATGATGCAGAGGGTATACTTTGAGATGTTGGGATCTTTTCTAGCTAAGAGCCTTCTCATTACCTTCCTGCGGTGGAGAGCGAGGGGGGAGCTCTGCTTCCAGTTCTGAAGTTCCAGTTCTGCTCTTGGAGTGCTGACTCCTAAGGAGGCAGGAGAGGCCCCCTGGAGGGTTCTAGGCATCCCGCTACTCCTCTTCCCGCGGGCATTCCCTAACGCCAGGTGATCACACCTTAAGTCAGAGTTCCCGTTCTTCTGTCTCCTGCAGGATATGCTTCTTGGTCTATAAACCCACGTGAGCTTCTTTAATGGATTTTCTGGCTCCTGCCGCCCGCCCCTCGCTCGCGGACACAGCGCCTCACCCCGGGGGACACCCCGCCAGCGCCGCCAGGCCCTCTGCTGTGCGCACAAGGCAGCCGCTGGCGACCTGCGCTCAGGACTGGCAACGGGGCCGCGGAATCGCTTCCGCCCTGGGGCCTCCTCACGCACCAGGGACAGCCTCCAACAGGTGCAGCCCCAGGTGTCCAATTGCCGGATCCTTAACCTAGTGCTCTCCCAGACTTCAAAGTTCTCCGACCCGCCCTCCCAGCCCAAACGCGCCCTCCTGTCCAGATGCCAGCGCCGTTCAGGGTTCACCCTCCCCACGACTCCAGCCCCAGACCTTCCTCCTGGTCTCCAGTTCCCAGCACGGCCACTTACCCAGGGCAAGGGCCAGGAGCAGTGGCAGGGAGCTGGCGCCGCTACCCGGGGCGGCCGGGTCCATCAACCCCGCTCTGCGGGGCCAGCAGCCCCTAGATAAGTCTCCCTCCTTCTTCGACCCCTTCCAGGGCCTCGGGCGCCAGAGAGGGTGCCTGGAAACTAATCCCAGAGCCAGAAGGAAACGAAACTAGTTCCCAGGCTGGCACCCTGGCTACAGGGCAGGGAAACACCCAGGGCGGGCGGCCCGCCGGCTCGGTGAATGTCGCCGGGAGGAGGGAGCCTCCTATTTATCCCCGCTCCTCCTGCACACACCCCGCCGAAGAGACGCAGAACTTGGTCCTGGGAGCCTCCACGCTGCTCCCACCCAAATTGCCCCACACCCAGGGACATATTCGGACTGCCCTCGGACCAGCTCACCACTCCCCCTGCTGGGTCGCACCTGACTGTTCGTTTCCCTCCCCCTTAGGACGTAAACAAGGTAGGGAGATGTGAAGAATCCGCGTGGAGGGGTGTTGGGTGTGCACGTGGGGCCTGCAGGCTGACCTAAACCCTTGGAAGTCACCGAGGAAGAGTCAGAGACCCAACGTGTTCTGGAATTCCGACTCCCTTATTTCAGAGGATTGCAAGTGTCATGGAGAGACCAGAGCCACCATTCATTGTGGTTGACTTCAGGCATTTGATAATGCAGGCAATTTCAAAAGAGTCATTGTTGCCTTTAGAAGTCTTGATGCCATAGCGAAACCTCATCTCTACAAAAAATACAAAAAACAAACAAACAAAAAAAAGCTGGTCATGGTGGTGTGCACCTGCAGTCCCATTTACTCCCTGAGGCTGAGGCAGGGAGATGGCTTACGCCTGGAAGGTGGAGGTTGCCACAAGCCTAGATCGTGCCGCTTCACTCCAGCCTGGGCGCAAGAGTGAGACACTGTCTCAAAACAACAAGGATAGTCAAAATAAAATAAATAAATAGAAAAAAAAAAGAAAAGAAAAAAGTCTTCAAGTTAGTGTCTTCGCTAGTGTCTGTGTGCATTGTCTTCTAATAATTTGTGAAATTTGGGGTCACGAGGATCTACTTTAGAAATTTCATTTGTATTTCTATTTACTCATTTACTAATTTATTCAGTATATTTTCGTTTAATTGCACTAAGCAATTTCTGGAACAGAAAGACATCCTCACAGTTTTCAGAGAAAGAAAGCAGTATCCAATTTTACCTTATGTGGTTACATATTTGCCTCTAAGATAACCAAAACGTACAGCCATTTTTTGCTGATCTGTTTTCCTCATATAAGAATTATATGGGTAATTATGCCTCTCAGTGCAGAAGTTTTATTTCTATAGCATCCAAAAGTCGGATAAACCTTATTTTACATATGAAATGTAGTTTGGGTGTCTGCCTCTTCCTCCCCATCCTATTGTTTAAATTACATAAATTATTATGCACTCTTCTCCCACAAATGACATTTCATTTCAAAACTAATTCAAATTATTTTACTGCCCCAGGCAGCTGATATATCCAGTGAAATAAAAATCAGCTTTTAATTTTCAGAATCCCATTCTAGCCCCACATGACAGCTCATAAAACATTGGTAGAGAGGGCAGAAATGAGGTTTAGAGAAACCCAAAGTTACAAGATGGAAGGTTATTTCACCCCACCTAAAAAGAGCAGAAGCACTGGAAGCAAATGGATTTTGGCAAAATCGCCCTCCCTCTCAACACTTCCACTCTGCCTTTTTCCTTTCTGATGTTCTCTCCATCTCAGCATTAGTGCCACTTACTCTTAAAGTATCTCTTACTCTAAGATGGCATTCAGCCTAGCCAACAGCTGTTCTCTTAGCCCCAACAGAATGCTACAATTTTGTTTTTCTTTTTCATAGATCCAAAAAAAAAAGCAAGTCCTAAACAAAAAGTATTACATGTTCGTTGAGCATTGGACAATTCCGGGACTTGGTGTAAGTATTCATCACCCATGCCATTCAAGTGGTAAATTAACTTTTTCAGGCCACTAGAATACAAAGTGGTGTAATTTAATATACTACATGGGACAGATAAATTAATAACCTTCCCTGAGGGCTTTATTTACTGCCATAAATCAAATAAATGCTCCCAAGACTATGCCTTCCAAATTTTCTGACACTGTTTTTCCCAGCCTTCAAAGTTCTCCAACCCGCCCTGCCAGCCCAAGTGCACCCTCTTGTCCAGATGCCAGCTCGGTTCAGGGTTCACCCTCCCTGCAACTCCAGCCCCAGACTTTCCTCCTGGTCTCCAGTTCTCAGCACAGCCACTTACCCAGGGCAAGGGCCAGGTTGACACCGGATATCCAATCTCTTCAAGGCTAAGAGACTTTTCCTTTCTTCTTTTTTTGTCTCTTTTTTCACATTCTTTCTCTCTCCTTCCTCCCCTTCTTTTCTCTCCTTCTCCTCCTTCTTTTTCTCCTTCCCCCTCCACCCCTCTCTCTCAAGCCATTTGCTTATGGGGAAAGGTAAATCTGGAATACAATTATTAAGTTTGGAAGAGCGGAAGGTAACAATTGATTTTCTCGGGTCCTCAGTCATGTAACTGAGTTGCATCTCAATACTTTAGTTTATAAGCTGAGCTGCTACTAAGAGAAGAGTAGACCAAAGCTACAAGGTAGACCAGGGCCACAAGGTGAAACGTGTATCTCCAGTAACCCAAAGCTAGGAATTGCTTGAGTGGTGTTTTTCCTGTGCCAGCTGTAGGCAGGTATAACCAGTCCTCCCAAATCTGGTATGAGGCTTAAGTAGATTCCTTTGGAGGGCCTTTAGGCATCAACCTTTTCCTCTTCCCACACAGAGCAGCCCGCAGCTGGGACAGTCCTCCCCCTCTTCTAGACAGGACAAAATAAACTTGTAGTTATTTATGGGGCACAATACATCAACAGACACACGTGGTGATGGAAAGGAAAATTTCTGAATGAATTTTTTTCTAGGTCATTATTCTCCAAATTAAGACTTTAAGGCATTCAGTAACATAGAAAGATTTCCTAAAGACCATTAACCTTATTTAATTTAATAAGAGTGGGTGAATGAAAATGATGAAAGACATTTTAAAAATTGTAATTTTTATAGTAATGATAAACATCATGCGTTGTAGATTGTTAAAAATTAGTGGTACAGTTATATAGAGAGAACTTTCAAATATTTTATTTAAAACTACTAAATTGGTCTCTAAAAACATATTAATGAAAAATCACTGCTCAAAAGCTGCATTCAGGTAATTTTATTTTACAATCTAATTGTTCTGAGGGAGACAGTTTTTTTCTTTTTTTTTTTTTTTTCCCTGCCTACTTTCTTGCATCTTCCTCTTCAGTCTAGGGGATCCACTTTTTATATGTATATCTCAATGTGTTTGACTCAATCTCTTTTAAATGGCAGCTTAACATATGTTAACCTCAAAAATAATTGTCTCTGTGACATTATACCTCTTAGTTTCTGTTCACCATGATGATCTTTTTCTTTGATCATACTGAAACATACTTCAAAAATAAACTTCTGATTTAAAAAAATTCTGGGCTTTTGTGCTGGCTCTAGTTGAAGGCTAAGTGAGCAAGCACCTATATGTTCCTAGACGTCTCTTCTTAATGTGCTTGCCACAGTGGCTTCATCTCTTCCTACCTGGCCCCAGACTCTTATCAAGGTAGACATTCCTCTAGGTGGGACAACAGAGCTGGAATATTATGTACAATTGGTGATGGAATCTGTTCAGCCTGTTTAGTTTGGATCTGTGTCACTCAGTGGCTGAACCCCAAACTACTTACCTTTCTGAACCTTAACTTCCTCATTGATAAAATGTGATGGTAATGACTTTCACAGGTTTTTATGATTCCCCATAATATGTATCTCCAAAGAAAAATGCTGGCATATTAGAAACTGTTCAGTGAATTGTAGTTGGTAGTAGCAGTAGCGGTAGTATTGGTAGAGATGGGTGTCTCACTACGTGGCTTGTCTCAAACACCGGGCCTCAAGTAATCCTTCCTCCTCAGCCTCTCAATATGCTGGTATTACAGGCATGAGCCACCACTTTCCACTGATAGTTGTTATGTCATTATAAAATTTTACATGGTACATAGCGAGAACCAGTAGGAACAAGCATCCTTACTAACCATCTCTTACTAATAGTTGAGATAGAGAGAAAGAAAAGCACAGAGCAACACTCTGCTGGGAAAGTAACACTGAGCTAAAATTCCACGGATTTGGTACAATTTTTGCCTCTTCTTATACCCTTAGACCTCTCTAAGCACCTTCTCCATTCTTTTTATTTCTCCTTCCTCCTTCAATTCTCTTTAGAGACCACAACAGTATTTAACCCAGGATAAAAAAAATGTGTTGAATATAAACAAAGTTCTGTGATTTGAAGGCCTAAATAAATGAGCTACCTAGTTTTGCGAAATGCAAAGAAAGAAATTCATCTATTAAGTCAAAAATGAATGTGGTGGTGGTAGTGTTGTTGTTGTTATTGTTGTTGTTGTTGTTGTTGTTGTTGAGACAAAGTCTCTTTCTGTGCCCAGGCTGAAGTACAGTGATGCAATCTCTGCTCACTGCAACCTCCACCTCCTGGGTTCAAGCGATTCTCCTGCCTCAGCCTCCCAAGTAGCTGGGATTACAGATGTGCATCACCACGGCCAGCTAATTTTTGTATTTTTAGTAAAGATTGGGTTTCACCACGTTGGCCAGGCTGATCTTGAACTCCAGACCTCAGGTGATCCACTCACCTTGGTCTCCCAAAGTGCTGGGATTGATTACAGGTATGAGCCACCATGCCTAGCCAAAAAACAAATGTTTAGTGAGTTTACAACAAAGTAACAATGCTTTACATGATCATTCTCCCTCCCCCCCTCAACTCCTTGGTTAGGAGAAATGGTGACAGGAGGAAGTAAGAAATGAGGAGCAGCAAAGCTGGAGAAGAGAGGGGGCTTAACTTTAAAGAAGTCTTTCATAGGTGCAGAATGGTATCTTAAAGGAGTAAAAAAGAAAAAGGTAAAATCTACCTTTTGTATCATCTTAGTTTCTCACCCTCCCTTTGTCTTAAGGTGACATCAATATACATGTTATTAACCTCAAAATAATTTAATGGTCCTTATGATTCCCCCAAACAATTCAATTATATCTTTAGTCTAACAATCCTTGGAATTTAAGTTTTTTTCAGAGATAACTACATGTCTTCCTTTAATGATACATTTACATTGCTTTCATATTTCTCATAGTGTAATTTTTTCTGAAATATGTATTTAGCCCTGTAATATATACCTGCCATCTGTCTATAAATACAGCATTCTTAAAATGCTAAAACTGATGTAAACTCTTCTGAAGTGACTTAGCAGAAAATAAGATATCATGTTTACAGAATATTCTGAAATTATTGTCCTTTGTCTTTAAAGTATATTGAAAGTTCTTATTATTGTCCCTATTAATCTCTATAAGATACTTTT